AAAAATCTAAATAAAAAATCATTCTCCTAATTATTAAAGACCGACCAATTTCCCCCACCTCTTCCCCCCTCCTCACTCCACAAGTAGCGTAATATAAAAGGAACGACTCGGAGGAACAAAATCAGGTTGCTCCTTGCCTTGATGAATTGCAAAGTTCAAAACGTTGGCATTCCAAGAATGGATCTGGAGACCCGAGAAAACAAGCGAAATGCATAATCTTTAAATATTAAAATTATTAAGATTGTTATACTGTGAAGTTTTGTTCCTCTTTTGCTGTCTTGTTTATCAATTAATTAATATTTGAATCTCCGATTCCGATTAAATGAGAAGTAAACTTGTTTATAAGTTCTGTTCTAATTAAATATGATTGGACTTAAATGAGAATTGTGTATTCTTTTATTAAGAAACTTTCAATAATATAAAACAAAAATTCTCTGCTTTAAAATAAATTGCTCCCAAGCAGGGGAGGAGGAGGGATGAAAGTCACTACGCGTGGAAGTCGTGCATCCCTGAAGCAGGGGAGAAGGTAGGGTGAAAATCGCGTGAAAAGTGATGTAAGCAAAGAAGGATTTTAATATTATATATATATATATAGAGCAGAAATACAATAAGACATTATTTTTCAAACTTTTTTTTTATTAACAACTTTTTAACAAAAGACGAGCAACGGCTAAAATCTGTTGGAAGTTATTCAGGATCATGACAATATATATAAATATATATCATTTGACAATATATATCAAGGTCATTGGAGCTTTCCTAATAAGGTCGTAATGTTCCCCTAATGTAAATTTTTATTCTAATAATAATAATCATTTATTTCATTTTATTTTATGTATTTCCTTTTTTTTAAGTATGTGTATTTTGCATGTTTTAATTTTTATAAAATGCATATGTATTTTCAACCATATTTTAATTAGAAATATTTTGTGATGAATTATTATAATGTTAACATTTAATTTAATAATATTTAAATGTTATTTATTAACATATACCTCTAAAAAATTATATCTTAAAAAAACAATTTATATAGAACTCAACACGTCGAAATAATAAATATCTTTTTTTATATTTTATACTTTTCATTAAATTTTCTGTAACAGTTAAACTGATATATTAATTGTTATTTTTCTTTTTCTTGAGTTTAAGCTTTTATCATTTTATTATTATTTATTTCAACATCTCTCAATCCACTATACTTAATTGTCAGTAACATAACTATTAAAAAACTAAAAGAATATATACTATTGTCGAAATCATTAAATGCAACGAAAATCATTAATAAATTTGGAAAATGCTTCATCAGAAGAGGTAAATCTATGAACATAAGAATAGAAGAATTCATTCTCGCATTCTATCACATTTAAAAAAATTGCATTTATGAGTATTTACTGATATATTGTATATATACGTATTATTAATTCACTTTTACGATTCAATTATAATATTGATTTTTCTGGTAATTTTATAGCTGTCATTTCTTATGTGAGCATTACATATATACAAAAATACAAATTATAATTATAAAGTAAAAATTTTATATCTGATATTCATATAAAATGTTTACATTATAATTATAATTCGTACTTTTGTATACATGTGTAATATTCACATATATATAAGAAATGACAGCTATAAAATTACCAGAAAAATCAATATTATAATTGAATCGTGTATATATA